ATGGTTACTACCCAAAAATGGTTACTGTCAGTGTAGAACTTTTTTTTGTAAAAATGAAAAACATTTTATTTAACATTTTCAACAAATAGTCTAAAATTTTTCAATATTATTTTTTGTTATTTTTAATGCATTTTTGGGAAAGTTTTTTTTAGTCAGACAAAAATTAGTCAAGAATTTTTAAAACAGCCAATTAAATTAAGAATTACATTTGAAAAACAATTCGTTTTTTTATATTAATTTTTTTATTTTAATTTAATAATTGTTATAAAAATGTTTTTGTGTGAACTAAAATTGTATTTTATACAGATCATTATAATAGTAATCATCAATCTTTTATTTTTGAATAAATTTTGAATTTTTGAGAAATTTTTAAGTCTGAATTTTTTCGAAATTTATAAAAAACTTGATGATATATACAATTTATACAATACAACATATTACAAACATGTATATTACATCTATTGACGATCATTATTTGTTTACTTTTATAAACAAAATACATGTAGATACCTTTGTATTCTAAATTGATGTATTTTTATGATCCTATATTTTACTTCATATAAAAAATAAAAATAGTTATATAATAAACATATGCATTATTCAACTTACATATAAACATCAAGAGATGATTGAGAATCAAAATTTGAATAATAAGAACCACTTGGTTCAAAGAAATGTACAAGATAAACCAAGTTGATTTTTTTATTAAAGACTTCTATAAATAAAACCAGTTTATTATATTATATAATATTGTTATTATATAATATTGTATATCGAAAAATAACATTTAAATTAAATTAAAACTATAAACAATTATTATATAATTTAAAATATTATAATAAAACTAATAAATTTATTGTTTTATTTATTATAAAGTTTTAGTTATAAGTTCAAAAAATCAAACTATATTTTATTAATAAATAACTAAATTAAACCAATAAACAAATTAAAACTTATAAACCTAAAACACGCGTTATTCATATAAAACCCCAAAAGTGGTGTTAAAATAATGTGGCAACTCGGCAGCCACTTAAAGAAAATGACACAATATAACAACAACTTTAACATACAAGTTTGTATTACCATTAATTCAAAAATATTTTATATAATATGTATTAACAAGTAGACATAATAACAAGAACAAGTCCGCAATAATAAAAAAAGTCAAAAAGGTATCGCCCTTTGGTAAGTCGATACCAAAGGGCGCATAAACTGAACACGACATAGGCACAAACGTTTTCAATTTGAGCAGGAGTTTTATAATTTGACGTAATTATTAACTATGGTTTATTACCTTATAAAATTAATAATATAAATATAATTAATTGTTAATTCAATTATGGTTTGATATTTTACACACACTCCATCTATTTTTACTTATTCAAATCAAAAAATTTATTCACTGAACCCAAAAGTCCACTTTTTCATTATCAATTTCCTTTTTAATTTTGTTAAATAAAATGTTTTTCATTTTTACAAAAAAGAAGTTCTACACTGACAGTAACCATTTTTTGGGTAGTAACCATTTTATCACACCCCTATAGCTAGTTTTTTCGTTTAATTTAATTGTTCCTGTGAAAAAATGATTCTCGTGTGTAATGGAATATTTGTTGTGAAGTTGTGTGAATGATTGTTTGTTATAATAATGTGTTTAACCGTTGTTTTATTTTCATTTAAAAATAAACAAATGGTACAATTACATTTTTGATAAAAACAACAGAATGTCTGTTTAAGTTTTTGTGAATCGCCGTTTTTAGTAACAAAATGAGAAAATGTTTGGTCAAAAACAGAGATAACTGATGCTTCTGCCATTGTTGATTATTGATCATTATTGATTAAGTTTTGAAGCTGTCGGAAATAAACACACTTGCTATTGAATCAATGATGTTGTCTGTAATTTCAATCCATTCTATAATTAAATAAGGGTTACTTTTTAGGTTTTGATATCGAAAATAAACAAAACTCGGGTTTTGTACAGTGTTCTTCCATTAAGTGATTAAGAGTTTTTAATTTTTAAATATTAAAAGTATAGTTTATTTAATTATTATATATTTTAGCGTGTTAAAGTTAAATATAAATCAAAATGTTCACTTTGCGCCAAAACACGGGACAAATAACAAAAGATAAAAATTTGTCGTTTTATATAAAACTTTTTACTTGTTTTACTTTATTAGATGTAAATGAGAAAAAGAAAAACCCTATTTTCAAATTTCAAAAACCCAAAAATACAAAAATGTTTTATTTTTGTGTTATAAATTTGTATTTATAGCGGGGTTTTGGTGTAAAATGTAAGTCTTTTTAAATACTAATACAAATTTTTTAGATAGTTAATTTATTATGTTATGCGGATAAAAATGAACATTATATAATATTTTAATTTAAACATTTAATTAATTTTATTAAAAATAATCCTGAAATATGTTAAACAAATTAATGATCAATCTATAAAAAAATAATATACAGTATGGTCATTAAATTTGTATATGTGAAACCTTGAGGCTTATGCGATTTTATAGAATAATTTTTTAGTATTACAGTTGGGTGAACAAACTTTAGCCGGGTAATTGTACCTTAGCCCAAACAAAACTATATATATACAATCGTTTTATTAAACAAATTAACTATATAAAAATACAATAAATATGTTTTTTTAGTTAATGATTTCAATAACTAAAAATAAAAGAACTACAATACTCAAATGCAAAGTGTTGAACCAGAAACATTCTTTGATGCAATAAAGAAAACTATCAAAGAAAACCAAATTGTTAAACCGTTCACTGTTCCCCCAACAAAAACCAAAAGAAAACAAACAATCTCCAATAATCAAATGATAAAAATTGTCAAATTTCTAAATGAAATAAAATTAATAAACAAAGAAACAAATGAAAAGGCCTTGAAGTTGGTGAATGATTTACTAGTGGATTCAAACTTGTATCAGTATAAATCAATGATTGAACAAATCAAATATATAAAAAGACAAACGAAACAACCCAATGTTATAATTGGATCTTTCTTTGGAATCCAAAAGGAGCAGTTTTAATCCATTTAAACATAAGACTGCAGAACAGAAACATTTTACAAAAATATCAGAAGAAATAGACACCGCAATATCTGCACTTTTTAACTATTGCGAATCAAGACATCTAAGCGTTACTCCAACTTTGATTGATTCTGTCCGCCAGTCCGTTGATTGTATGTTTGAAAAGACAAGAAAAGGAATCATATC